CCTTGATGAGAAGGGCGATGTCAGCTGGGCGGGCAGCAATATCGAAGAACTGGGCTTCGGGGAAGTGTCGCTCCAGTGCCTGTAGGGGGCGAGATGTAACAAAGAGCTTCACATCCATCGATGCGAGAAGCTCAACCAGCGTGCGTCTATCTTCGGAAGACAGCTCATCCAGGGCGTCAAGGATGAAAAACATGGTTTTACCCGAGTGGATAAAGGCCCAGAGAAGGTCGACCAGTTCGCTCTGGCTGGGCCTTGTACCCTCCCGCTGGTGCTGCAAGTAGAGGGGTTCTGCATAGGGTATGAGGTCTGCATGGCGCTCGAGAGTTTGCGCCACGAGTGACTCCAAGATGTCGCGAATCGACAGCGGTTCGCTGTAGCGAATATAGACGAATGCCACGCTGATGGCACCCGTTAATGCCTCCAGCCGCTGGAGGTGTCTGATAACAATCGCTCTGGAACGGCGTTAGCCACACTCGAGTAGGAAAGACTTTAACTGACGCGAGGACAGTCTTGCCTGCTCCTGCTGAAGACCGAGATATTAACCTCCGGAGCTACTTGAAGCAAGAAACTCACTTACGTATTCCCTTTCCCCACAACACCTTTCCCCTCTCAAGCCAAATTCGCAACACCTCGCCCTCGGTCAGCCATACACAGGTTCCCTCCACAGCTTTTGCGAGGGTATCTTGCTGGATAGCACGTAAGTTGGGCAGCCTGGAGGATTTCAGAATGGCCAATACGTCGATTGCGAGAGGCCCGTAATGGTGGTTATGGATGGTGATGTGGTCTCGACCAGCAATCGTGAAGACGCCGCCCGTAATCTGAGCGCTCTGAGCGCCAGCAATCACGGCTGTTGAGAAGTCTCTCGATGATCCATCGACGAGGGTCTGCTCGTCGTCCTGCCGCCAGCATCCTCTTTTCGCCTGCGGCGGGTCATTCTTGGTTTGAGGCTTGTCCCTCTTTCGCTTGGGCTGCTGCATTGGCGTGTGGAAGGGTTTCGAAAAAGTCCCTCGGTCGAATGTGGTGGGTACCTTGCCATCCTCCTCTGTTTCCATCTTCAAAATGTGGTGTGGTTGTGGTGGGGGAGGAGGAAGGGTATGCCAAGCGCCCTGCACAGCAGCTGGTGGCACATGATCCAATTTGTTCTGTCAAGCATCTGGCACCTGTCAGCGTACTGTGCACAGCCTACCCCGCGATAAGCCAACCTTCGTAGTTCAGTACCAATTCCCAGCCACCGAACCCCCAATTTCAGAGGAGAGCACTGACATAACCCAGACTCTCCTCTAACCTGTAGCCGAAAGCGTCCACCGAGCGATATGGGCTATCGTGGTGTTGACTGCACCTTTCCGCACTTCTCAAACTTTCATCTGCTGCGCTGAAAATCGGATGTCAGTCAACCAGTCAAATCAGCGATTGAGAGGGAAAAATCGTACCAAGCGCTACTGCTCCCCGAGAAGGGGACCACATGATCCTAGACCTGCACAGTTGGTTCCTTGATTTGACTAACCTTGTCGCCAGCCAGGCAATCACCGAACGAGGTACTTGATACCACCCCAGCAGCGGAAGGAGAGGAAATGAGATCGAATAAAGATATCACAATACAAGGGTACAGAAAACAAAGGAAAGATATGAAGTACAGCAAGGCAGGGAAAGGTACACACAAAAATAGACAGGTTGAACTGGATCAATGGGAAGAAGGGAACGTCTGACGGACACGGCAAGTGTAGAAGAGGGTCCGCGCGGCAAGGGCAAGCTTTCGTTTTAGCGTTCGATCCTTGCCAAGCTCCCTAGAACATCCAGTCAGCTCGTCTCAAGCGGTACAATGGAATAAACTCACAGATCCGAGCAAACGAATCTCCCGAACCGGTCGCAAGAAGATCGTTGTTCGAGTTGAGGTCCAGTGAGATGACTATCATGGATTGGTCAGGACACGAGAGAAGTGAACGAGCGACAGGAAGACCATACCCGAGTTCTTGTGTCCCTGGAGCATCAACTGCAACACCGCCGTCTGCGAGTCCCATACGTGTACACAACGATCTTTCGATCCACTAACCACCCATCGCGAATCGCTACTCATTGACACAGAGAGAACATAATCCTATCCAATTATCAGCAATCATCCCACAGCGAGCAAGAACCAAAACACACCTTGTGCCCAATGAAATCCATCAGACAGTTGGCACTCTGCACAACCTTGCCCTCCCTCTCCATCCTCTCCATTCGTTCCCTCTCGACCCTATCCCTCTGATCCGGATTATCCGCCGCCTTTCTCCTCCCCTCCACACTATTCAAATGGCTCACATCCCACAGCTTCAACGTCTTGTCCAAACTACCCGTCACAAGCCCCTTGCCATCCGGTGTGAACGCCACACTATACACACTATTCGTATGCCCTCTCAACCGCTCCAATAGCTGACCCGTCTGGACATCCCAGATTCGGATAATGTTGTCCAAAGAGCCGGCAGCGACGAGTGCGGTAGATGGAGAGATGGCGACGGAGGTGACGCCGGCGTCGGTGTTGTGGTCAATGACATCGGTGATCGTAAAGACGTTGCATTTGCTGGTTTCCATGTCCCAGATTCGGGTGGTACGGTCGCCTGAACCAGAGACGATGAGGCGGCCGTCTTGGGAAAAGTCGAGAGAGTAGATTTCTTGTTGGTGGCCGTCGAATACTTGGCGGATGCGTTTGCGTTGAATGTCCCAGATCTGTTGGAGTGTGAGTGAGGAGGATTGTAAAGAGAGAGGGAAGACTTACGCGGATCTGACGATCTTCTGCACCGGTTGCGAGAAGTTTGCCGTCTGGGCTGAAACGGACGCTGCGGATGTATAGGTCGCCTGTATGTGCCTCGCTCTCGTGCGGCAGTTCACTGTAACACTTGTCAGTATACGAGACATTGTTCAAAGAGCAACCCTCACCACACTTTGAGCCCCGACTTTGTGTCGAAGATTTGCGCAGTCTGGTTGCAACCAGTGGCCAAGAACCGCCCATCTTGCGAAAACTGTACACAGCACACCACGCTGCGTTATGTGTTAGTTTTGTTCACACGCTGTAAAAGATAACATACCTCGAATGTTGGAAGGAATGAACCAGCTGGATATCCAGGGACTTCTTGATCTTTGGATTGAACGCGGCGAACCAATCCGGTCCGTCCTTTCTATACTCGGGTGGAACATTGTTATAATTAAACTCTTCCCCACCAGGCACCAAAGCACCCGCCGAGCTGGACGGAGGAGGCTGTGGTGGTCCTCCCGCAGGTGGAGGTCCCAATCCCAAAGCACTCAGCCCACCCTCGGTCTTGGGCAGAGGTCCGCCAGCGGAACCGGGTGGTGGAGGTGGAGCGCCGTTGGCTGGGTGTCCGAGGGGTGGAGGAGCAGACGTGTAAGGTGATCCTGTCGGTCCGTTGGAGGATGGTCCTCCTGAGCTGCCTGCACCATATAGAGCATGGCTTGGAGGCAGTCTCGGTGTCGTCGTGTGGCTTCCTGGACCTCCATATCCGGCACCGTTATCTACAAAGCGAAATCAGGGATAAAGCGAATTAAAGTTTTAACCGTGGACACGCACCCTTTTTAGGTCTCTTGGGATCCCTGCCATCCGCTAGACGATCCAATTCCCGGTCCCGTTCTCTCATATCCCGTTCCCTGTCCAACTCGTATTCGCGTCGTTCACGGTCCCGTCCTCGTTCCATGCGATCGACGACCATCATGTCCCTGTCCCGGTCTCGCTCCCGGTCTCGCATGGCCATATCGCGTTCCCGCATCTCTCTCATGTCGAATTCGCGATCCCTGTCTCGTTGGTCTCTGTCGCGTTCTTGTCGGCTGCCACTGTCTTTGGGCATACCGCCACGGCGTCCATCAAGGGAAGGAGGAAGATCTGATCCACGCGTCACACCATTTTCGTAGCCGGGTGGTGGGGGAGGGCCAGGAGGAGGGGCAAGAGGACCACCACCTTCGTGTTGACCCGGTCCGCCACCTCGATAGCCTGGTGTGCCAGGTCCGGCGACACCGCTCACGACGCCTAGCCCAGCGAGCCCGGCAGGTGGTGGAGGTGGGTTGCGACTGCTGTGTATCGCTGCCAAATCACTCCTGAGTTTGGCGATTTCGTCTTCGTAGCTCTGGCGAATCTTGCCGTGTTGTCGTTCGAGATCGAATAGCGCGTTTCGAATGACGGTCAGTTCGCCCATTTGTGCGCTTACTGAAAGATAATTAGAATAATGTAGAGGAATACGGAATAAACATACGTTTGACTTCAACTTCCTCCTTTTGGTTTTTGCATAGTTCGACCTCGTTCATCAGGGCCTCGAATTCAGCCTTGATAGCTTCAAAGCTGTCGTTGATCCTGAGTGCACCGGGAAAGGCGAGAGGTGCACCTCCAGCGCCAGGAGGGAGCCCAGGAGGGCCCCCAGGTCCGCCACTTCCTCCCAGGGCGATGGCTTGTGGAGGGGCTGCGTTGCCAAGTACGACGGTTCCAGGTGGAGGACCGCCCGCACCGTTGCCTCCAGGACCCGTCGGTGCTCCTCCTCCTCCTCCACTCCCACTCGCCCCTCCTCCCCCGCCTCCTGCACCTGAGCGCCCAGCTGGCTGTAGACTCCGATGCTGTATATATTGGGTCAAAGGACGTTCAAATGTGGTGTATAGGAATATACTAACGTTGTACATCGAATTGGCCGACATATCAGACTGTAAAATGTCGGATGTGTTAGACTCGTGCTCGTCGTGGTCGTGGTCGTCGTTGTGGAAGAAGGTGTCGTCGTCGGCGTTAGCTTGGTCGGAAGCGTCACACCCAAAAAGATTCCCATGCGATCTACAGAGAAAATGCCAAGCCCGCCGGTAATTTACTTCCGGCAACTTGCATCCCGCGATTTCTGACGGTAGAAAAATCATACAGAGGGCCGGAAAAAATCACTGGTGGCTTGCAGGAGGCTGGCCAGGGGTTTGTGGGGGGGGGGGAGCGCCACACAAGGCAGTCATAAATCTATGATGCACTACATATTCTGTCCTTTCAACCGACTTTAGCTCAGTTGGAAGAGCATCAGACTGGCTCAAACAAGATTTTTTCCACATTGAGTTTAATCTGGGTGTCGCCTGTTCGAACCAGGCAAGTCGGATTTTTTGTTTCCTTCGTGATGAAGGTAGAAAACAGCGTGGATAACTACGGGAAAGCATATCTACCATTACCATCGCGTGCCCCGAGCCAGCGCCTTCAAGTCGCAAGTTGTTCTAGCACATATGCTTGTACTCGCCTCCTGGTTCAAGGATTCCTTCCCCAGCAGGTTTTCCACCTATCTACACATTAATATCAGTCATTTTCTAACTCTATCGTCCTCGCTCGAGATCCTTAAATCCAAAAAGTCTCACCTCGTTTTAACTTCTATTCTTAGCTCGTCCCCTCCACTTCACCGAGACGCCTCGTTTACGCTTGTTATGGCACAGGACATTGCCACTCTTGGTGCACCCTTGTTCATCTCTTCGTCTCGTCCATGAACATCATTATTTCCTCCACGTCCCGTCCCTCCACTTTCTATCCCATTCCCATCCTTCTAGGTTTTGGCAGCCTCACCGACCAGGTGATCGAGCGCCTCCCTTCGAATGTCTGAGATCGGCCTTACAACCGCCAAGTTCTCTTCACCGGTCTCACTGTTGCTAGACTTGAAGAACGTTCAAGTTGCACCAGCACATGCAACAGTGGTAATGGAAAGGGGAGTCTTGTTTCCCCAAGTTTCTCAAGGGCTTGTAATCATCATTCTTTTCGTGGCTGGCATCTTCGGATCTTTCCAATAGCAAAAGTAAGCGCCCATCAATAGGACCCCTCCTTATGCTGAGCAATGTCCGATCCTAAAACCCCCATTTTGGCCGTTTTCGTACCTGCCATTTTGGGTAGGTTCCGTACACACTCCGGATCGGGTGCCCCTGTTTTTGCCCATTTCCGTCAGCATGACGGATCGAACATCCCTGGAGGTACCTTTCGTACACATGAGGTTAAACACGCTAGAAATCATCAGTTTAACTAGAGATTTATGCTTATGGGGACTCTCTGGCTGCATCTCAGCTCTCACCAAGACCGAAGGTGGATGAATCAGCCCAAATTTCGAGGAGACCGATTGACAGAAGTTGCACAACCCTCGAGCGCCGCCATCAAAGATCGTCGACCTCTATCCTCGTATTCACAGCTGCCTGCTGCCCTTGATTCCAAGAAAAGCAGCAAGAGAAATCAGTAGATAGGGTGGTGGGTTGAAGGAGGAAAGGGCCACCCAAATCTCTAGCTTCAGGTAGTCCCCTCATGTCCAGGGCATGGTAGGCGATGGCGACCAGTCAAGCTAGTCAAGCCCCCCATCCGTACACATGTCGGATCGGACATCGCTGGCGACTAGGCATGGACCGACGCGTGTAGGATCGGACCTCCGGCCAATTTTCGGGACTTTCGTACACATGGGGATCGGACATTTTGGGTCAACTGGGGTCGTTTCCGTACACACCAGGATCGGACATTTCCCAGGATAAGAGGGGGTCCTCCATCAATCCTGTGTAAATGATTGCATCAAAGTCGTCAGAATGCTGTTAAGATGGTACCTCATGGTTGCGTCGTTACTTAACCTCCTCCCCCATATCTAAGCCTTCCCTGGACTCTCTATGGATCTCAAGCGCAAGCGTGGACCTTCCCCGGGCCAAAATGTAGCAACTAAGAAGGAGCGATGGGAAAGCGAACTTGCCGCGGCGCCGTCAGAGTGCTCACCAACGGCCTCGGTATCGGCTCTGATATCTGGGGTTCACTCCGCTCAGGTCTATGGTGGCACATTCGCTATCGCCGGACCTGGGAGCACCCAGACCATAGTAAACAACTACCACTATGGACCTGCACAGGCTAATGTATTGGAGATCCTTAACTCGCTTTCGCTTCCCCAATTTCGAGATTACCAACAGGATACCCTTGCCAAGGCTACCGAGGGGACCTGCCTCTGGCTCACAGCAGGCGACATATTTCTCTTCTGGATTGCGAAGGGGAAAATACTGTGGGGGATTGGCATACGTATGTCTTCACAGTGTGGATGCTAGCTCTTGGTGCTGATGTAAGCTTAGCTGGAGCTGGGAAGACCATCCTCGCGTGAGTGGAGTCATATAAGCGACCATGAAAGTGCTCACGACTTGCAGATCTATCGTCATCCGTGACCTAGAATGGCGTGAGGCTGTATGTGCAGAAAACATCTGCGTCGCTTATGTCTACCTTCGGTATAGCGAACCCTTGTCCATACGGGACATCTTGGAGTCGCTGGTCAAGCAGATCGTCGAGCGCCACATCGACCTAATCCCTATAATTGAAGGTCTCTATGTGAAGCACAGTCAAGAGAGGACCAGGCCCGCCCAACATGACCTCGTGGGTATGCTGGCGGAATTTGTTAAACATGGCAAATCACTATTCTTCGTCCTCGATGCATTGGACGAGATGTGGGCTGTGGATCGGCCAGTCTTGCTCAGGCTTCTTTCATCTTTAGACGTGAAGCTGTTTATTACCTCTCGACCACTGGAGACCCTCCAGCAGCAGTTCCCTCTGGCTCAGGTGTTCAACATTGCCGCTAGTACGTCTGACCTCGACTTACATATTAAGGACTTTCTCCGAAATAGTCCCGATGTCATGGCGTTGCTGGGGGGCACCGAATTTGAGGAACGCATTGTCGAGACAATTCATCGGAAGTCCGGCGGAATGTGAGTCCCTCGACGTCCTTCATTTGCTGTGTCCCGATATGGTTTGTAGGTTCCTTCATGCGAAGCTTCAACTGGAGTCACTCCGCCAGTGTGTTAGCGTTCAGGACATGGAACAAACTTTAAATACATTCCCCACCGATATCGAAGCGATCTACACGAAGACTTGGGAGCGAATCGTGGCCCAGGCGCCCAATCATGCGAATCTTGCAAAACTTATTCTCCTTTGGATCACCCATGCCTACGGTGAAATGGAAATCGAGGTGCTTCAACGCGTTGTTGCCACCTCGCCGGAAACATATGCATTTGAGCCGAAGCGACTGGTTCCCGAGGCCGTACTCCTCTCGGTCTGCTGCGGCTTGGTTTCACTCGATGAAAAAACAAGACTGGTCCGTTTGATGCGTGAGTCGTGCTTTCTTGACTGCCCACTTTGTCCTTACCCAACTGGTGCCCAAGACTATACAACTCGGGATGCTATCCTACCCCGGATCCTGGGATTATTTCCCGTTCCCCATGCCGTCCTTGCGCAGGTCTGTATTGCACACCTCACAAACTGCGGATTTCAGCACTTCAAGCTGGAAGTAGAAAACGAGAGCCAAGACGATGCATTTGACGCTCTACTTCGCAGCGATACCCTCCTTGATTATGCCCATCGGTCCTGGGTCCACCATGTACGACAATGCAACCGCTCTCGATCTGTCCTGAAGGCAGTTGCTACGCTCGTGCTCAACTGCACGAGCTTTCCGTTGGCCAACAGCGAGCTATTGCTCGATTATGGCGGCCCCGTTCACGTTGCCGCGTTCTATGGACTGAAGGACCTCATTGTTCGAGCAGCGGCATTGCAGCCTCTCGACATTCGGACAACAACTTACCGACGGTCGTCGCTGATGCTAGCAGTCTAGGGGGGGCATATCGGTTGCGCCGACGCCCTTCTCGCGCTGCCACACATGAAAGAAGGGGGCAGAAGCAACGTGTCTGCGTTTACTGCACTCATGCATGCTATTGACCACGGGGAACGGGAATGCGTGCAGCGCCTCCTAAGAGGTCCTGGACGCATTGACATCAACGCGGTGGACAAGAATGGCTGGTCCGCCCTCATGCATGCTGCTCATGAAGGCAGTACAGACATAGTGAAACATCTCCTAGGTGCTCGTGGGATTGACATTCATTTGACGTCTAAGCGAGACGGGGAGACTGCGTTGTCGCGAGCCATTCGCCAGGGACACAGAGAGATTGTCGACCTCCTCCTTGCCTTCTCTGGTACATGAAGTTCAGCATCTGCAGATTCATTGTAACGAAATATAAAAATACTCCTTACGAAATGATTTTACTGAACACACAACCAGGCAAGTCGGACTTTTTGACATGTGGGAGGGGTACCTGGCAATTTTTCCGAACTTTGGTGATTTTTAGCGCATTTTTGTCGGATGAGGTAGACTCTTCATTTCTTCTGAGCATGCGCACAACTCTTTCATTCGAAAGCGTCGGCGTCCGCCGTCAATCCTTCCTGTGAGAGCTCTGAGTAAGAGTCGAGCAGTCGACATTGCTCATCGATATGGTCCTACTCAATCGGGCTGCGAACTCCTCATAGCTCATGTATAGAGTGAGTGTGCGCGAATTATAACAGTGACCTTATAATACAAGATTTACATCGTCGTCCTACAACGGATCCCTCAAGACAATCCAACACAGGATAGAGACTAATGACCCTTTGTCCTCATATTCCCCTCAGCAAGACCTTCGCAATACTAAACCCCAGAACGTTGGTTGAGAGGGATGATGTGAGGGAAGAGGGATGGTGGCGTTGAGGACTTAAGAGCAGTCACAGGTCTTGCCGCTGCTCATACAGCCGCAGTGATCTCCGTTGGCCTGGCAAGAACACTGAAGGAGGGAATCTCAATCAGACATTCAAGACGAAGGGCGAAAGCGGGCAAACCTTTTCGGTATGAGCCTTGTTGACGCACTCTGCACAGCTGCACTTGTTCTTTGGGCAAGCACAGCCGGTTCCTTGAGGTCCGCAAGCGCTATTAGTTGAGCACGTTAGCATCGAAGCTGGTAGAGGATGAGGAGAGAGCGACGTACGTGCAGGCGCTTGACAGGTGCAATCGGAAGGCATATTGCTCGATAGGATGATAATTTAACGAGTTTGTGGTAAAACGTTGGGGTGTGGATAGCAAGGGACGAATTTGGGAAGGGCACCGTGTCTTATATACCTTACAGCCACCCAGGAGTCCTAAGACTGTCTGATTCGGATCGCCCAAAGCGGGAGGAGAGACATGTTTACGCAGTTGATGACGTTGAGGTCTGACAGAGGCAATTACGAGCTACCCAAACAGGCGGTCCATGGAAGAACGATTCGACTCCAATTGTATTGGAGTGGGACGTAGTGGCCACATATAGCGAGTGCTAG